GAGGCTCGAGTATAACTTCATTCTTTTGCCCATGGAAATCTGGTGTCCCAACCAATTCTTCAAGAAATTAACACCTTTCTACCATTAAATGGATTCAGCTCTAGTGTCCAATTATCACTTGGATATCAAATAAACTGTTAACATGTATTAGGTGTTAGGGATACAGGAACTACATGAGACAGGAGTATACAGCTCTATATACTTATTTAACTTTTGAGCCAATGTGACAGTACTACTGACTCAAAACCTAAATTAAAATTAAATTTAACATTTTAAAATATAACCACCAGGGTGGCACCTGTAGCTCAAGTGGCTAAAGTGCCAGCCACATACACCAGAGCTGGCCGGTTTGAATTCAGCCCAGACCTGCCAAACAGTGACAACTACAACCAAAAAATACCCAGGCGTTGTGGTGGGCACCTGTAGCCCCAGCTACTCGGGAGGCTGAGGCAAGAGAATCACTTAAGCCCAGGAGGTGGAGGTTGCCGAGAGCTGTGACATCACAGCACTCTACCCAGGGCAATAGCTTGAGGCTCTGTCTCAAAAAAAGTAAAAATATAACCACCTATTCTTTTTTGTTGTTGTTGAAGACAGAGTCTCGAGCTGTCACCCTGAGTAGAGTGCCATAATGACATAGCTCACAGCAACCTCCAACTCTTAGGCTCAAGCGATGCTCTTGCCCTAATTTTCCTATTTTTAATGGAGACCAGGTCTCGCTTTTGCTTAGGCTGGTCTCAAACTTGTGAGCTCAAGCAATCCACTCACCTCTGCCTCCCGGAGTGCATAAGCCACCACGCCTGGCCTATAAACACCAATTCTAATTGATTCTTCTAGCCCTTGCTACCGAAGGCTTTGCCAGTTTCTCTTCTTCAAGCCTATCTATACATGCCTTCTGCCCGTGTGCCAACAAAGTGCCTGCCTACAGATGTGAAAACTGCTACAATTCAGCAATCACTTGTGAAGATCTCTCTCTCTAAATTCAGTTCATAACCTTCATAATCAGCAGCAGCTGCAACAATGGGAAAAGCACTTTCCATAACTAACCTACTAGAGATTCCATGGGAAGAAGTTATAGACCAAAACATAAAGGAGTAGGATGTGAGCAAGTATCAACACACACGCCCCAGGCTTGAAGTCCAATGAGAAGGACAGGTAAAGCAATTTATTTCTCCCTCCCCCCACCATCTGGTGCAGTTAGCAGGCTCAGGCGCTTCCGGACAGCTTTTCTACCCCAATAAGCCCAAAAGCTACTGCCACCAATGACTGGGAACTCACTGGGAATGACCCAGGCTGCTGATGCCCTAGGAGTCACTTCCCAACACACAGACCTGAGCCAAGACAGCAGGTGCCATATTGCTTCTCTACCAACCATGCACCTCTACCCTTCCCAGAGGGCTTCAGCCCCTCAGTTTTCATCTCACTGGTTCCTACTCACAAACATTTCCCAACTGTGGCCCAGACTGTGGGAGCCATGGGGGGCTAGTGGGTCCCAGGAGATCTACGTGACAGCCCCCCTCCCCAGAACCCACATTCTGGGTGGACTGCCTTCTGGAGAGAGGGACAGAGATGACCAGAGTGCTGGTTTCCTCCTATTTAGACCCTTTTTGCTCCCTTTGCCTGCCCTGCCTATGGCTCCTGAGAGACAGTTGACCAGGAGCTCAAAGGAACGACTTTTCCTCTCAGTTAGTACATCCACAACAGGACTTGCACCAAGAGTGAAACTCAAAAAAAAAATTTTTTTGAGACAGAGTCTCACTTTGTAGCCCTCAGTAGAGTGCCGTGATGTCACAGCTCACAGCAACCTCAAACTCTTGGGCTCAAGCAATCCCCTTGCCTCAGACTTCTGAGTAGCTGGGACTTTAGGACCCAGCCACAATGCCCGGCTATTTTTAGAGGTGAGGTCTCGCTCTACCTCAGGCTGGTCTCGAACCTGTGAGCTCAGGCAATCCTCCCACAGTGCTAGGATTACAGGCGTGAGCCACTACACCCAGCTAGACTCAAGCTTTTCCAGAACTTTATCTCCCCTTGCCCTTCTCTACTTGTATTATTTTATTTTATTTTTTTGAGACAGAGTCTCAAGTTGTCACCCTGGGTAAAGTGCTGTGACATCACAGTTCACAGCAGCCTCCAACTCTTGGGCTCAAGCAATCCTCTTGCCTTAGTTTTTCTATTTTTAGCAGAGACAGGGGTCTCCCTTTTGCTTTCAGGCTGGTCTGGAACTCATGAGCTCAAGCAATCCACCGGCCTCAGCCTCCCAGAGTGCTAGAATTTACAGGTAGGAGCCACCACGCCCGGGCTCCCTCCCCTACTTGTAGTTGCCAAGAAAGACAACTTAAACCACAGTCCTGAGGCTTCCACAGAGTGGGGGGCTCAGCCTTTCTGAGGTTCTTGCAAGAGTCTGAGAGGGGCTCAGACTCCACGACTGCTGGCTTTCCCTGGTGCTGGTAGCCTGGTAACTCCATTAGGGTTGGACACATCCCCCAAGGTGGAGGGACACTGACACTGCTTGGGCAAATCCATGGGCACCTTGGGAGCAGCATGCTTCTCCCTGGCATGGCGAGGAATTGATCTCTGGGGACCTGAGGACAGGCCCACAGGTGAGATCCTGTAGTCCCAGATCTCAGTCACACCGCTTGGAGGGGAGATTTGTGATTGGGTGAGGCCACTGAGACCCTCTCTGGCAGCTTTGCCTGGAAGCTAGAAGCAGATCTTTGACCCCTGCTGAAACAGCTATGTTGCCAACTTTGGTGGAGCCTGAAGGCAGCTCACCCAACTCAGCTCCACCCAGCTGCACCCCCACACCTCCTCTGCTGTGATAGAGAATAGGGGAAACACCAGAGTTCCAGGACCCTACCCACCACCTGGGCAATCAAGTGGGTCACAGACCCAAAATCAACATTGCAGCTTGTTCCTTCTAGCAAGCGCCACCTACTGACAGGGAGATCAGTTTGCATGCCCTTTACAGCATTTACTGAATTGGTATTACAGAATGTAGTTGATTCTCACCCACAAACACCACCCACAGTCTCAGATTAAGCTGAGAGTAGCATTATCTAATCAAAGGAGAATCCAAAAATAGAAAGTAAAAGCTGCTCCAGATGAGATGAAATCAAGAAAAAGACCTCTGGATACATGAAAGATGAGAGTGAAAGGACACTCCAAAAGAAAACAGTAACTCTATATCAATGGACACCAACCAAGAGTACTGAAATGACTGATAAAGAATTTTGAATGTAGATTGTGAGAAAGCTCAATGAAATACAAGAAAAAAACAGAAACCCAACACAAAGAAACCACAAAAACAATGCAGGAAATGCATGAGGAAAAATTATTTCAAAAAGATCAACCAGAGCTTCTGGAAATGAAAAATTAATTCAAGAAAAAAAACACAGTAGAAAGAGAGCTTTAAGAACAGTCTAGCCCATGCTGAAGAAAGAATCTCAGAGCTAGAAGAAAACACCTTGGAAGGCTCAGCGCCTGTGGCTCAAGTGATAAGGCGCCAGCCACATACAACCAAGGTGGTGGGTTCGAATCCAGCCCGGGCCCACCAAACAATGACAGCCACAACCAAAAAATAGCCAGGCATTGTGGCGGGCGCCTGTGGTCCCAGCTACTTGGGAGGCTGAGGCAGGAGACGCACTTGAGCCCAGGAGTTGGAGGTTGCTGTGAGTTGTAATGCC